ATCATGTATGCTTATCTGTGTGTGTTTGATATTAAACCTGTTCTTCTAGTGAGCCCTAACTGGTACACCTGATGTTGCAAAAAATAAATACCTCAATTTTAAAATGGGAAAAATAGTTAACAAGCATCTTATTGAAGAAACTATATAGATGTCAAGTAGGTACATGAAAAAATACTCAATGTTATTAGCTATTGATAAAATGCTAATTAAAACCACTTCATACCCATTAGAAAAACTAAAAATTAAAAAGACTGACATCACATTTTGGCAAGCATGTGGAGGGACTGGAATTCTCATCCACTACTAGTGGGAATATAAAGTATTACAGTTATTATATAGAATAGTGTGATATTTTCTTTAAAAGTGAAAGTTACATTTACCATTTCATCCAGCTATTCCATTTCCAGATAAGTCCTCAAAAGAAAAGAAAATATATGCCTATGACATGGAAGACAGAGAAAGGGGGTAGAAAATCTCTAGATTAAAGGAAGCTAAGAAAACAACAATTAATGTAATACCCACATTAAACTGGTTCTTATATTCAAGGGGAAAAATACTATCTAAAATATTATTGTGCTGAATGACAGACTATAAGTGATAAAATAATGTATTAATGTTAAATTTACTTAAGTTTTTAACTGTGTTGTAGCTGCATGAGAAAATATTTCTATTCTTAGAAAATAAATGTGGACAACAGGTGAATCTGTGTGAAAGATAAATGGTATTTTGGTATTTTTTTCAGCTTTGCAACTTTTCTGTAGGTTTAAAATAATTTCCAAATAAAAAACAAATTTTAAAACCTCCAGTGGTAATAAGTGCTTTGTCTTAGCTGGGCATGGTGGCATATGCCTATAATCCCAGCACTAGGGAGCCTGAGGAAAGAGGATTGTTGTGAGCTCGAGACCAGCCTGGGCTACAAAGTGAGCTCAAGGCCAGCCTGAATTGCACAGCGATACCCTGTCTCCAAAAAGTGCTTTGTCTTAGGGTAAATGAATTCATCTCTGCTGTCTTCATTTTAGATATGCCATGGCAGAAAATACAATATCATGATCCATTGATTCAATTTTAATGTCAACAAAAGACAAATGACTTTCAAAGGATTTCCAGTGATCAAAAATTTCTCCTCTCAAGTAAGTTGACAAAGTCCTTTTTTAATTTCAGTGGTATCCTGGTAGAGCTTATTCTGCAGCACTTAAATGTTTGCAAGGATATTGACTCTTTTATTTCTACATCAGTTTGGCTACAAAAGCTTTGTTTTTTCAGTAGCTCTTTAACATTAGGATCTTGAATTGAAACACTTATACATTAACCATTATTTATTATTTTAACTATTCAGATAATTAAAAGTATCCTTCAAGTAAGCCACACCATGAATAAAGTCTTCTCTTTAAAAATGTTTCAAGAGTGGACTTGTTTTTTTCTTTCAAACAAACAAAAAAGGCAGGAGTGGAAGACTCCTCTTATTAGAGGAGAGGAGACCTGGCCTCATGAAAGCCAGGGAATGTCTCTCCACAAAAATATTTATAAATGTGATTATTTAGAAACCTACTTCTGATAGAGTTGATTTTTTGGCCCAATTGGTTTTATTTTAGAATTTACTAGTCATTTTTGTCAGCACATGTATGTCCTAAAATGGATGAGTGACCTATATGTAAGGAAATTCCATTTCTCAATAAAATGGCAAAATTAGCCAGTTACCAAGCATCGTGGATCTGGCTGTGAAGAGACAAAAGAAATGTTTGTTTCTATTAAGATTTCATATGACTAAAAATCACCTTTATTGTTTCCACTTCCAAAAAGTTGACTTTTGTGGTTTCCTAAAAAAAGGTTATGCAAGAATTTTTCTTTAACAGCTTCATCGTTAACATAACAAGCAAAACCAAAAGGAAAAAGAAGAATGGACCTTTTTGAAAGATGCCTTCAGTTTTATCTGACTATAAAATGAAGGAGAATGGTAAAACCATTTCTTAATGAGTGCTTCTTAATGACTGATTTCTTAATGAGTGCTTCAATTGGTAAAAGAAATATGAACTATGCTATTTGATGAGAAAAACCCAATTTTCTGTTCCAATCCCAAACCAGTTCTAAGGTAGTTTACAAAGCTTTTCTCAATAATATGGATCTTCTTTCATTTAGCAAACTGGTAAGTGCCAAAGTAAAGGCTTGTGGAAAGTGGCAACACCACACGATTGTGCTTTTCCAAATAGAGATTACCTACTGGGAAGAAAAAAATCCGGGAATATTTCAAAAACAAAACCAGGGTGACTCTTGTATCCTACAAAGTTCAAAGATACAAATGGAACCTGATTTTTCACTATGGCTAACAAAGTCTCAACCACTGCTAATTCTTTTGTAGCTGTTGTCAATATTTGAATAATAGGGAAATTTTTTTATCAGATAGAAATTAATAAGAATAAAAATAGAAGCTTTTCTATTAAAGTTTACAACTGTATATTAGCCTAGTTTTAGTTACTATAGTGAAATACACAAAGGTAGTTACTTTATAAAGAGAAAAGGTTTATTTAGCTCAAGCTTTTGGAGGTTCAAAATCAAAACAACCTGGAACTGACCCTGTTGATGCCCCTGTATTGAATCATATCATGACAAATGGAATCATAGTGGGAACACAAGCCAACACCAGCATATGGCAAGGCAGGAAACCAGAACAAGGAGGGGCCTCTTTATACCACCTTGTTCTCTCAAGAATTAACCAACGGTCCTGTGAGAATTACCTTAATCCTTTCTGAGGCCATCCTCAATGACTAAGTGACCTTCCACTAGGACCCACCTCTTCAGGGTTCCAAGGCCACTTAATACCATCTCACAGGGAACCAAGTGTTATAGCTTGGACCTAAAGCATCCCCAAAGCCTCATGTATCTGGAAGGTGACTGGACTGTGGGGCACTGATGACTGTGACTTCATCCATTGTTCCCTTATGAGATGGGACCTGGTTGGGAGAGGCAGATCATTGAAGACAGGAAGTGGAAAAGCTATTCTTGTCCCTGACTCTTCCCTTGCTCCTTCTTCATTTGCTGGCTGCCATGGAGTGAGTAACCTTTGTCCACGATGCACTTCCACAGCACCTTTTCTGGCCAGCCAATCATGGACTGAAGACTGCAGCTCCCTGGGAATTGTGAGCCATGCCTCTCCCCTTTTAAGTTGCATCATTGAATATTTCATCCCAGTGTCAGGAAAGATGACTAAGACTCCAAGCTTCCAACACCTATGAGTCAAAACATATCCAAACCATTGCACCTCATAAAACTCAGAGGCCACTAAAGTCTGTATCAGTAAACCTTGCTCAAGAAGAAAGTAAGGTGCTAACGCAGCATCATGAAATCAGTCTATAAAGAGACCCAAAAGTTTTTGCAATTTTATATTATCTGTTGTGACTTCTTGTGCTCGCTTCAGCAGCACATATATATGTGTGTGTGTGTGTGTGTATATATATATATACATAGTGACTTTTCATCTGAAGCATCATATTCACAGCAATGTAATAAATAAAATCTGAATTTTAGTGACACTCTTTACGCATGAACCTCAGCTTTGCTCCTTGCTACTTTCTTCACAATTCTGTTGTAAGGCCCGATGAGACAATCTGTGTGGAAACAGGTGTCCTCAAGCATAGCAGATAGCCTGCACTCGACAGTGTCAGTGTTCCTTTTCCTTCATTTCTGTCCCCACCAGCAACTGGGGGTAGAAGGGGGTGGGAATGCATATATTCCCACTGATTTCTCTGGGTCCCAGAGCAAGCACCCCTCTGCCAGATTGTCTAAAGCGTCATTATTTCTCACCCTGATTTCCATTTCCAATCTGTAAATTAAATGCTGCCCCCAGAGAAGTCAGGAGCCTCACTCTAGGCTGAAGGCATTTTCCCCAAAACAAAGGGTGTCACTTAGAAGAACAAAGTATGCTGATTGCTCATCTGTGTAATCAGGAAGATCTCTGTCCCTCACCCCTAAGCCAGGACAAACCTGAACATAAGGACACAATGTTCTGCTTTCTCCTCCTCAAAGCAAAACAAAGGGCATCTATGCTGATTGGAAGTTTTCATGGCATGGGTGTAAATATGATTTGGGTGCTATACCCAATGATTTCGTGTACCTTTTGTCAAACAGAGTACTAGTTATTTCAGAACAATAGAACTGTTTACCCATCCTCACAACTTATGTAATTAGTCATAGAACGCTAAAGTAACAAGGAACTCAAAAAATAGTCAAATATAACATCACAGATAAATGACTTGCTAAGATGAATAACACAGTTATTACCACTCCATTACACCCTGAAAGCTCTATTCATGGGGTCTGAGAGCCATCTTCTCCTGCCCTGTGAGAAATGAAAAATTAAATAATTTCTATGAGAAAATTTGATAGTTGTAGTAACTGTTGAAGGAGGTTGAGTAGCGTTCAGGACCTCAATAGTTAGGTGGAGATTAAAATTCCATAATTTCAACTGAAATTAGAATTAGTTTGGTAGCACAGAGATTCAAAATTTAAGGGGCTTTCAGGAACCATCTGTGAAGGAGAATCTTGAAAGAACAGACACTGTGCAAGCACATTGCAGTTTAGCCAGAATACACATAGGTTATCATAAATAGCCTAGAGATGATTTAAAGTATATAGGTGGATGTACCTGAGCTATATGCAAATACAATGCAATTTCATATACTGAACATTGGTAGATTTTGGCATCCATGGAGATTCCTGCAAGTAAGTCACTGTGTACTTACTTACTTGATAGTAACTATAAGTTTACACTTTTTAAAAAGTTAGTTCCCTGCAAACCTCAGCATTTATGAATTACCATTACTCTCTGCCGTGGAGAGCACAGCCAATGAACTTCAGTTCCAAGAAAAATCCTTGCATGACGAACTCCTTAGGCATGAATAATCACTAGCCACTGATGAAGGCAAAAGCATCTTCCCTGGAGCCTAAAGACCTGTGCTTGCAGCTCCTGGTTTCTGTTCTCACGCACAAGAGACTTCTGAGTCGGAATGAACAAGCACTTCTTGTTGCTCTTCTCCCTCTTCTGCCTCATTGTGGGTGAGTCCCAGACCTGAGGAGAGGGCTTCAGCAATAGGACATAGGGAAGCCCAGGGGAAGTCCACATGCCTAACTATATCCAGGCATGGCTGAGCTTTGACCACACTTGTGAGTGATGGGAGCCAGCCTTCAGAATACTGGACTAGCAACCTTTTTGTCCTCTCCAGCGCCCTACCATTTCCCTCCAGGTGTTTGAGCTGCTATATCTTTGCGGCTCTGTCTGCTTTTCTCTTCTATCTCAACTGTTTCATATTATCCAAATTCCAGCAAGGTCTCCCTCAGAACATCTTTTCCTTTCATCTATACTCATTTTCTGAGGGAGCTAGTCAGTCTATAATGAATAATTTTGTCATGTTTCTGATGGTACAAGATGGTTTTTGACACCCTCTTGGAAAACTTTCTTATGACAACAAGTACATTTAGGAGAGGAAATTCTGGACTCTTTGAAATCAGACACTTTTTTTTTTTAAAGGTCCAATCAAGGTCTTAAACTCTGTGTGTCTTTGGTTGCTCATTTGACAAATGGACACAACACTTACTTGCAAGGCTTTTGTGAGGATTAAATCAGATACAATTGAAGAAAGAAAATGGTCCTAATCAGATGATGAATAAATGCTTCTTTCTTTTCTCATTTAGGTGTACCAAGAAGAGAGTTTTGAAAACTGGATGTTTATTGTAATAATTCATCCTGTAAAACCTGATAAAGGTGTCACTGTCTATGTTCTTTTTTCTGTACCTCCAGAAATTATTTCAATTTTCATTTTTATAAGTACATGTTTGCAGTACATAATGATTACATTACCCATGAGAAGTTGGAATATGTATATCACACAATTTAATGCTTTTTTCAACCCTTTGCTCTCCCTCTCCTCCCCTTTCCCTCCATCTCTTGATCCTGAATCCAATGGCAAAAGATCTATCTCCCTATTTCCCTATTTCCTTTCTTTCAATTTGCTCTTTATTTAGATTTTGTTTTTCTCTTATAACAGAAAACACGTAATATTTAAGATTCTATGTCTTATTTATTTAGCTTAATATTAAGGTTTCAAGGTGCATCTATTTTCCTACAAGTGACTCAAGTTTATCCTTATGACAGCGTAATTCTGTGTGTATATGCCACAATTTCTTTATCCATTCATCTGTTGATGGACATATAGGTACCTCCACAATTTTGGAATTGTGAATTCAGCCAGTATAAACAGGGATATGTGTGTATCACAGTAATATGATCCATTTAACTCTGTGGGGAAGATACCTAGAAGGGAATGGTTGAGGCAAAAGAAATTTCTACGTTTAGGTTTTGAAGAATCTCCATACTGATTTTCATGGGGGTTTATATTATTATTCATGAGGTGATTACTTAGATTTCTTGAGCTCAAAAATAACACATATATCACTTAACAATACCTAAACAGCAATATACAACCTAAATTAAAGTCGTATGTCAGAGCCCCATCATAGTAACACTAGCTTGGATAAAACGTTCTAAAGCATTCCTCCTTATCATACTCACACCTCTTCACAGCCCTGTAAAGTAGGAGACAATGGCATGAATAGCACCATTTTTAAGGTATAGAATGACATGGAAGCTAATTTTTCATTTTTCATGGAAGCTCAAAGTATTCCAAATGAAAAGGACTAAGATTGGGATGAGAATCCTTTTAATCACACAGTAGCATTTTCTTGACATCACTGTAGAATAACTGAGTAGCTCTAAAAGGTCCAATTGTTTGCTGCCTGTCTACTCCATCATCAGGTCTTCAGCCACCCACCTAGGCCCTGGCCACCGCACTCCCCAAAGTAGAATATTTCCAGCTCCATCCAAAGTCCCCGCCTCTCTCTGGCCTGATACCTACCTCTGTGCTCTCTCTAGCAGCAGCATCACTGAAATGTTTAACATGTCATCTTCACATGACAGCGGACCGTTGTAGAAGAGGTTTTGGCATCTGTACTGCTCAGAAGGATGAGACATGCATGAACCTAAAGATCATCTATAGTAAGTCAGAGGGTCAGGGGAGGTATGGTGAGAACCTTAGAATTCCCAAGACGGTGGTTCAGCAATTTTGCATCTCAGGGTGAGGCCAACCAAAGGGCAGAATCCAATGACAGAATACCCCCAGCACAGGTAGCACAGGTCTCTGTGCACACAGAAAGAGGATGTGGAATAATGGAAAAGAGAAAGAAGTGAGGATTCTCTATTTCCAATAAAAATGGCTAAAGAGGTTTTTTACTTAGAGAGCTCCAAAGTGCAATTTGTTAATACTCTAGCAGCAATGAGACTGAAACAGGTGCACAATGCATTGCGAGCTGTCAAAGACTTCGCGCAAATAACCCAACCCTTGCAGAGAGCCAGCAATTTCTGCATCGCTGCTCCTGAGCAGTGTAAGCTGGGAAGCCAGTCTTCTACCTGCCCTGCTGCCAGATTGGTGCCAGATTGTACCTGCCTTGGAAATCAGTAGCTTTTCTCTGTGGTTCTTCCCTCTTGCAGATTCTTCTCAAGTATTGTCATATATGGATTGTCAGAAGTTCTGCAAAACTATGAAGCACACAGTCAACAAGCGCATTTATCAATACAATTGTTGCAACTCCAATTACTGTAACAGGGAAATCTAAAATATTTGTCTCCTTAAGGAATGTTCCTGATGTTTTTCATTTTTCATCCTCTACCTACCCTGGATCTCCTGCCCTGTCTGTCCTACCAGTACGGCAGCCTTCTCCTAAATCCATGTCACCCTTCATGATGCCTTGGATTTATTCATCCTACACCTCTTGGTCAGGGGATGACAGTTGTGGACAATGGAATTCTCTCATTACAGGGGTTGGTATTTCTATGCTCCAAGAGTTCCTTACAGTAAGACTTAAAACAGAACTCTTGCAGCACCTCTTTGTCACCTTGGAGAACTGAAGCAGGCAAAGATTTCAGATAAAAGTTCTCAAATATCTTTAACTAAATACCCATGTATCACTACAATGATTAAGCAGAAATAGCAAGAAAGTTGGTGGTAGATACTGAAGGTTTTCCTTTATGGACAGAAAGTAGTTTCCCTCCAGCAGAGAGTGCACATTTCAGATTCAGTTCTTCAATTTTTGTGACATATAAAAGTGCATTCTTTCACACATTGGTAATACACAGCAAACAAGGGCTATTCCAGTCTCTGTGGCATTCTTAGCCCTAACTCAGCCACTAGTATTTCTGTCAAGATGTATGTTTACAGCACATCACAGCTCTCATTTCTTCCCCCTCCTTTCCTTACCTCTCTCTGTTCCTTTCCTTTGCCATCCACTTCTGCTATCACGTGTTTATTTCACTATTGCCACACAAACTCTCCCTCTAAAGCAGGTTATGCTTTAAAGCTTTGTTCAAGTCCATAGGGTTCTCTAGGGAACACAATCTACATTCTACGTATCTATGTACGTATCTATTATCTACCTATCTATCATCTATCTATGTACCTACCTATTATCCATTTATCTACCTATTATCTCTGTATATCTATTACCTACCTATGTACCTACCTATTATCCATTTATCTA